CATTGCAGGTCAAACGGTTACGGAAAAAGCATAGCTGAGAACGAGAAAAACAACAATGAAAAGTGGCCCCCTTAAGAAAATAGAGGATTACACAGCTGATTTCAGTTTGATTTCATTGTTCGATATCCTAACACTGTTGCTAGGCTGGCAAGGACGGTTATTCCACACATCAGCGACAAACTCTTTCAATTTAGATTTTAGGATCGATTGTTGTAATCTTTCATTAGAAACGGCTTTCAGTCAAGCGATATCTCATCCTGGTCAATTTACCGTCTTTTTCACCCGTGAAAGAACGTAATTAAAAACTGTGGATTTGAGTGGTACGAGTACCGAATGATTTATTAAGGATAACCCGGTGAACGCAATGTAACTTGTTGCTTGTTTTTCAGTTCAACTAATTTTGTTCATCATTGGCTAAGCCAACCTTTCAACTAAGGAATTATTTCTAGGTGAACTGGAAAGCCCATAGCATTGAATGCATACTGATGATAAACATGAATAAGTCATTTCGGACTGAGGTGAAGTGGCTTCTTCATGTTGTGTACGCTTTCCATAAATAATGAATAATAAAATAATCCTGTCCTGATTTTCGATTTCGCTAACATTTTGATTTTATGAAATCAGCAATGGAAATATATAGTCATAATAAGTAGTATGTAAATGACTGGACAAAATGTCTCTGGAAGTACACAACAGGTTTCGCGGTACTTGCCGCCCATCGAGCATGCGTATCCGGTAATCTTTTGTCAGTTCATTCAAATACTTGTACCCAGGAAGTGCATTTCCGTCACAATAACAATATATATTTATATATATAATTACGACCTCAATTCACGTTTTGAAGTTTGCCAATTTTCGCTCATTGGATAGCTTCCAAGATTAGATACTCCATGGCGAACAGCAAATCTGATTTTATCAAACTTTGTTCCATTGATTCGTCTATCCTATCTGTTGGTTGGTTATTTAAGCCAACCTCGCATTGCCTTTTAAGAACCTTGCTTTATATCTCCTGAACGTTGACTTCAGGTTGATTATATTGTTTGATATTCACGCGAATGCATTTCAATATCACGATTAATAAATATACCCTCCCTACTCCCCCAGTGAAACTAATGCGCATTTCCAGTGCATTCTGGCGACATCTGTTTTTTTGATGCCATGAGATCTGGCTGTATCACAANAGGTGGTCTGAGTGGTCTGGGTGAATATCATCACAGTGTGATCAGTTCCACTAATATTACTATGAGTTACCAGAACAGCTTTTTGTGATCTAACTGCCAAAGCTTCGACTTCGATGAACACTGCTGTTGCACTGAATGCTCACGAGACTCTCCTCACGCTGGTTGGATGGACGCACCTAAACGTTAGCATGTAGTTCTAGTGCAATAGAAATATTTTGATGCAGGATTGACAAAAAAGAAACAATTCAAATAAGATGTTCATGCGGTGTATCAGAAGGACAACTATACAGAGTAACCCCTATCCGCTAGTCGTCAAATACAGAATTAGCGCTCTTCAGCACTCAAAAGTTGAATAACATTTGTGTTCACCAGTGATCACAATGGTAGCAGTGTAAATCACATAATCTGACTTCCAATCTAACGCACAACAATCTTGGTTTTTACTGCAATGCATACACGATATCCAAAGTGTGTTGGCCATGCTTTTGAAATGCATACACCGCATTTTCTCCAGATGTGGAAGTTTTTTGACCTCAGCTCACACAAATCGTTCACCAATTAAATATATTGTTTTCTTCTTGTTCTTCTCTTTTTCTTTTTACTTTCTTTTTATTGAATATATTTGATACAATTTTCAGGAAGCAGGAAGCGGCCATTCAACACAATAGGGATGTCAGGCGTAACCACCCGACCACCACCGGCCATACTACTATATCCCTTTACGTTTTGCTATCTATCATGGAGACCAATACAAAAGCTAGAAAAATAATTTGACAGGTTCACCACTCAACAACAAATCGGTACCCTGATCAGACAATCTCACATCCGCCAAAGGTTGACAAGATGTAGTTCACGTTCACTCTCATATTACCGTTCGTCACATACAGTTCAACTAGGAATCGGCCGTTATCTCAATAGGTGTTTCTAATAGCAGTGGGCAGTTCAAGAATTGCTCAGCAGTATTCAAGGATGTTTTGTTTTGTCACAGTGAAGAAAAGGCATTTAGTTGATGAACCGTCGGAAAACAAAACGCTCAATAACGCATGCAAACTCGAATGTCATTTAAAAGCTGCTCAGTGAGGCTGGAATGTTTGCATTTACCTCTATCAGATCATTCAGGACAATCATTCATTCATTTGTAAGTTTGAATTTGTTCATTAATTTTGAAGAATCGTTCAGACTTGTCTGAAACAGATAACGCAACTGAAGCTGCCTGTGACGTGGCAAAAACAAACGGATTCATTCACTCAAATCGAATTCGTTTGTCCGAAATGGGAATATCAAATGAGGAAACGTTGGTTGGAAATTTTCACCATTTCATGATTCGGTTGGATTTAGATAAAGAAAGTTGATCAACTGGTATGCGAATAATGGTTGCATAAAATTTCTCTATAGCTACTAACCCTCATTGTCAACTCAGTTGTATAGTTTTACCCCCAATGCAAATAAAGATAAACTGTCTTTATAGGCAACTCAAAGAGGTGCTTATCGGCAAACCAATTTCAAGGTTGTGGGTGCAATGCGTCTCAGCTTGGCAACCCCCCCCCCAATAAGAGCACTGTTAAGCTCAAATCCGAAACACTGTCGTTGTTGATGGTTTCGCCCAATCAGCTTCGTTAATACACATCTCTAGGATTAAACACCAGATATGTATGGTTGTTGCGTATTCAGAAAGAGTATACTGGATGGCGCTTGATGCGAATTTTTTACAGATACTTTTATACAAAAAACGTCAACCACACATGGTTCTATTACTCATTAAGATGTAGTTACATGCCGCATACTCACTAGAGCCACCTTCAAACAATGCTTTTCGTGGAGACCTTCTGTATTTGCCTGCTTTTCGAAGAAAGCTCCTTGAGAGGCGAATTATAATACAATTACTTGATAAAAGCTTTCGTTTTCGTATCGACTTATTAGTTGTATAGCTCTATAGATAACTGTAAAACATCAGCATCATTCAGTTACTTCGCGCATCTGACGATAAATCAACCACTCTATCCGATTTCATTAGTTGCTGTTACTCACAGCCCGATAGTTAATTGACAAATATGGAAATACCGGATGAACGTTACTGTCGGTGAAAATTTCAGTTCGCGGTCTACGGTGCGCTGGGTGTTTTTCATTTGTTATGGAAATAATTTAAATTTTGAACTGTTACAGGGAATGAACAAGCTGAGTATTTGTGAAGCTGCTTCAAAAAGATTGTGCGGTTTAAATTACGAATATAATTCATAATCTTTTACAAACCCGATTAACTTGTTTTGAATAGTTATTAATATTTCCTTTTACCTGGCATGGATTAGCCGTTACAATCAGACTGAAACAGAAATTTAGATTTCCTGAAACACGACTTGTCCCCATCAAGTTGTCCCAAGGCTGAACCAGCTAGTTTCAAGCAGAATGTTTCGAATGTACCGATTCAATAGAGTTCGTTTGTCTACTTAACAGATACATATTTTTTTAATTCGATATTTAGGAATGGAGACAAAATATGTCTAGTCGAGGTCTTTCTTACAAGTTAGCACGAACAAATAGAACTTAAACCTTCAAGAATACATTTTTAACGACCGTGTTTCCTCTGTATCAGTTAGGAAAAATGGCAGAAAAACCGACTGCTATCAAACACAACATAAGTGGGGACCTGTGGTGGTAATTTCGGACAACCTAGTTGTGGACTGGTTNTGGACTGGTTCACACTTCAGTTCTTTCTCCAGAGGTCGTACCGGGTAGAGTGCACATATGGCGAACCAGAGTGAGAGACACTTTGAAGCCGATTACTTCCAGATTGGCACATGAAACGGGGGAATACTTTTAATGATTACAAATGATTACAAATTCAAATTCAAACTTTTATTATGGGCAAATTACAAAGCTGATGCTTATTTAATCCCAATGGGGTCTGTACACACTGGGTTCGGTTTGTAGTTCAAATGAATAGCTAATTCTGACATTCACTCACGGGTACTGAAACGTTATGTGATTCAATGCTTCATCCGGTCGTAACTTGAATGTATCGACGGTTAGTGCACCAACGACTTGAGGTGGAGGAAGGGAGTTCCAGGTGTTACAATTTCTGAGGCTGAAAGAATGACGCCTGCTATCGAGCCGGCTCTTTTGGAGAAGAATTTTGAACGGATGTCCTCGGAGGTGACCATTCCTGGATGGCATCACTAGAGTACTACACGGGTGGTTTGGTTGATGTAGTACTTGATAAACGATGATCATGTCTCCCCGTATTCGACGGTATTCAGACGTTTATGCTAATATCTTGTTTAAAAATAACATCCAGTCAGAAATGCCACAGGAATAGCAAACATTTAGGGTATTCATTTGCATTCATATCATGATCAAATGCACCTACATCAGGGTTTGCCTATTATTTTATTGAGTGACTCTCATTCTTTCAGTGGTATGTTTCTCATATTGTCCATTGGTTTGGTGTTTACGTTAGTTTGTATTAGCCTCAAACGGCAGTCTACATAGTTGTGCCATTCTCTACGTCCCCTATTAACAGTGCTCTCATAGCATGAACCGTGTATTACTATATAATTACAACCCAAATTAGTCTATACCTTTTCAACTTCAAGTGAATCCTTTGTAACTTCAAGTGAATCCAAACAACTGCATTCCATTGGGAACCCCATACGATGATGGGTGTTTCGGCCATCAAACGTCACCGATTGAACCGGGTCTGTCCGAACCCCGTCCAGTCCGAATGAACTCAGTTGTCCGAAAACGAACAAAAGTACTTTTTGAGTCAGCTACCGAGCAACACGTATGGCTATGCTGAACCGGCAATTTAAATTTGTTTTCAGCATGCGTTTTCAAGTCCACACCAATTTAGTTCACACCCTCCGAAGAAAATGTATCGGTGATTCGATCTTTATCTTTTGTTTTCTCGTAGCACACGACCTTCTACCCCGGGTACAAACAACTGGTGCAACCTTACTGGAATCCTTGCACTACTTAGACATTCAAGGTCCCCAGCACACTCGTGTACGACTAAACGATTCTACATCGCTTCGCTGCCGTGTCACATTCGTAGTTGTCAATCGCACACAACAGTCTGGACTGAACACGACAGCCGAGCACACACCCACATGGTACGGAATCGCGCCAGGCTCCGTACAACCTCGGATCCCGTTGGTCATACAGTGGGTAAAAGATGGATTCGGTTACGATCAGGATTCACTGTGGCACACATTCAATGGTCGGTATCGTATTGCCGAATCAAAAGATGAAGGTAAGCGGGGTTGGATTCTCAACACAATAATCTTGTGATGCTTACTGTTTGTTGGACAGATATATGCCGGTGTTTCCCCATCTTGCTCCGTTCAATACATTGTCGAAAGAAAATAGCATAAACAACAAAGGTTTAAACCACAATCTACAGATCCATCTTCTATAGATTCCTCTTCTAAAAACCCGAATGGCCCTAAACACATCTGGATATCCGGTTTGTCATCACGACAAATTTACACTGGATAAGGATACAATGGTCTTCATCCTGATCTCCAGATACCGCTAAGTGCTTACAAAAGAGCTGATAGAATGGAGAACGTCTCAATCAATATTTTTAAATTCAAAAAAGTTGAATGACTGCGAATAGTTTAACAATGGAATTTTGCAATGAAACGCATCAAAACTTGAGGCACACATTGCATTTAAAATGTTTATTGTTCTGTTTGATTAACCATTTAAACCCGGACCACCGCTGGCCTAAACGTGACACATCTTCGACAGACGGTTTATTCTTTCTGGGAATTTTTTTTTTTGGTCCATCACTTTTTTCACCTCTTTTCATGGACAGTTGTCTCCATTATTGATTTTCTTAACTGTTTTGAAAATTTAAGCTTTGACGTTTTACTGTTTACATTATCTTGTTCTTTCTTGGACGACAACATCAAATGAGTACAATATCCACTTGTCGCACATTTGATGACGTTTGGAATATGGTACATAAGTTCGTGAAACGCAAAGTAGTTAGGTAATTTTTGCACTGTCCCTGAATCGGAGAGATGCATGCTAACCCAAAAGCGTTCCAGTTTAGGTGCAATAACTGATCAACTGGTCCCAAGTGATTGAAACAGCTCTGATTCACAGGTTACTCATACATGAATTCAAGTGATTTCGCAGTATAACAAGTTGCAAAACAATGCTTTGCCTGCTTAAAAACAAGGCCACGTATCATCCCCGATTATGGTATACAGATAAATCGTGTTGTTGGACCTCTTCCCGTCGAACGGACGTACAAAGTCTGGAATATTTTGCACAGATGACAAAGGAATGCCACGTTTTCACGCAACTGGGTTGTTATTTTTTGAAACTCCTTTGTCATTAAGAAGTGCAGGTTTATTGATTTCCCCCTTGAGCCCGGGCGGTTCGGTTCATCAGCAAATATTCGTTACTTTGATCAGTGATTTCTTCGTTCACCGATCACTTTTCTGCAATAAATGTTTTCAGCTAGATTTCGGTCTAAAATTCAAATTGTTCAGCATTATTTTGCGTAGCATAAAATAAACCAAATAATGATTATTCGATCGGGGATTGTTGTCATTGTTTTTTGTCTCAATTTCACAAAACCGCATATGGCTGAGCCTGCCATCGGAACTTAAGCTTGAGACAGAAAACAATAACAACATTCCCCATTTGAGTAATCGTCAATTTTGTTTCCCCTTTTCTATACAACATGATGTTCAGCATTATTCTCAATAATTATTATTTATTCAATAGCAAATTCAGATCTCATTTGTACCTGAGGGACCGAAAACAGAATGATCTATCTTGGGTTATGAATGTTGCAATATTTACGTATGTCCAGCCTTTGCGATATATTGTAACATCAGTGAAAAGCGACTCTGGTGATAGGGTAGAATCTGATACTCATTCATAACGGTTGGTGGTGTGCTTCGGAAACATTTTCAGCCATTTATAAACTACTTATTGTGATTTACACATTTCCCAGGTAATAACAGGCTCTTCTTCAAACGGTGTTCTTTCCCAAGGTCGACCTCATAGGTCTCTATTGTCTTACAATGATGCTCATTCGTGTACCGTTTCACTAGTTAGCGGATTTTATTCAGCCTTTCGATTATAAGTGCAATACAAGGCAAATACATACGGACACATGCTGGAGAACGTGATAAAATGTAATAATTCACATAGACTTTTCCGGACTGGTACATTTAAATATCCAATACTATGAGAGAAGTGTTTGTAATAACCGACAAAGAGAACTGGACAGCTGTTTCGTCCTGTTTGGGACTCGTCGGCAGTGCGTATTTTTTGTATCCCTGTCAGGACTCGAGCAGCGAACATTCGGGTTAGGATGAAACAGCTGTCCAGTGCTCTTTGTTGGTTATCACAAACTTTTTCATCGCATTAAAATGCATTCAACTAGTGAGTAATTAACCATCTCTCAAGGAGTGAAACCCACACCTGAGATCATCAAGAAAGCCTGGCGCCTGTCCACAATTGAATTGGTTAATCCAAGTTTGGTACTCTAAAACAATCAATAATATGGTGTTGAGAATTTTTATTGTGAATCTTGGGATTTCCGAACTGCAGTTTTGGCATCTTATTGGCAGAATTTAGCAATTCAACATGAAAAATGTTGTGTAAATAGTAAAGACGTACCACAGCATTTTGCTTGCAAATTTGCTTGACCAATAGTTGTCCAAATGGAGAGCACTCATTTCTGTGTCCAATTACACATCACATATGAGCCAACCAGATTGACTCACTACATTTTGGAGCCGAAAATTTATTTTTACACCTGTCCATTTGTTGCAAGGATAGCTAAACATATCCGTCAACATACCGCCAACAGAGGACTGAATGTGACCATCGATACTGAGAGGAGTGCACACTCTACCTAAGTGAAAGTTATTCATTGGGATGAATGTGCAAACATTGGTGGAGGCGTTAGTAAGAAAACAAAAAAACAAAAAAAGGTCACGTAAATCACACTTGTTGAATAAATGTGGTTTATGATTTAAAAAAATAGAAAATGGAAAGAACCCGCCAAGAGTGAACAGTGGGAGCCGGAGAATCAACAGACCATAGGAAATATTTAAAATATCAACAATAGGCATTTGGAAACCCGTGAAGATTTGAGGACGGTTATCTTCCAGTTAACTTGCTATGGGCACGCTGTATTCATAGGATACGATACAAATATCCAATGACCATTCATTTTAACAGGCTTTGGTCCACAGACAGCAGTTCTCACTGTTTTCCTGTCGGTAGGGATGTGGGGGGAGGGGATAGCCAACGTCTGTTTTAATTCGGACACACATGTCACACATGATTCCAGCCGAACGCTCGACTTTAGCCAAAAGGCTCATGGCTAATTATTATTGAAATTTTTCCTTCTCTACGTTGCAACGTTATAACACTGGTATCTACCTACCATACATAATACACCTGAAAATCCTTGTTAGAAGAATCATGTGAACTCGGTGTCTGGACACATCGACTTAGGACGCAATTACATGATGACGTCTGTTCAAACCATATAGAATCAAATAACCTGAGTGCGCTTAAGAAATAAGCCAAACTATCCGTTACTTTACTCAGGTAACCACATACTATGAGAGTTAGATTGCAGAGGTTTTTCTAGCTACGGATTAGAACTAGCAAACTTGCCTTGTAAGGAAGCAGGACTTGAACACGTGCAATAGCGTAGAAGTGTACCTTAGCTAACAATGTCTAATGCAAACCCTTCAAGCACCCATGACGACGTATACGGTATAAGATAATTTTCAACGTATACACACAGATAGCGTTTGCAAAATGATCAGATTATCTCTCAAAAATGACACTATTTTCTTTGTTCTCGAGTGATCCTCGTATGAGGCTGGTTTACTGTATAGTATCACTGACCGGTTAATTCAGATTTTCTTCAACAAAGCGTGATATCCTCAATTGCTCGTGAGAGAATGATCGCTCTCAGCAAAGAGATTGAAATAATGATTTGAAACGCAGCGATAAACTACCTTCACGGTAGAGTAGTGTAACAAGGCAACATTATGACGGTATCGTTACTTTGTCACCGTTGTGGGTTTTCAAATGAGTCATTGGTAAATTATTTTGCGCATAACCAAGACCAGGAAACAACGGCAGCTTTTCACTTGTAATGATAAATTTGTACGTGCAGGGATGTCAAGTAAATCATTGAAGTACTTGACGCGTCTTTCACTTTTCGAAGTTACTCTCAGATTGTAATATCAAACACAGCCATTCCATTGATTTAATTATCTAGATTGTAACCTCAGTTAGATTAAATCCTAAACTTACTTTTCCAAGGTTGTTAACAGAAAAAAAGCATTTCCGCTTAATGCGTAATCTTCATCATCACATAAACTGACTAGCTAAAGTATTTGAGTGCGATAGGGTGAAGACAACACCAAATACGATATGAAGATATGGATATTTCTAAAGAGCACTGAAAATGTTAATATTCCGCGTCGATTGTCTATCCCCTGGTAGGATTTCATATAATTTATAAGTAATGCAAAATCCGAAAGCTTTGTTGCACGTAGTGATTTTCATTCTCTCAATATTTCTTTTGACAATTGAAACTTTAGTTTGAGACTGTTGTTGTGTAAACCCTAGTCAAAACAAATTCGACTAGGACAAAATTCGTGGAACTGTAGATCATGATGGGCTGCGGATTGCGAAATGGACTAATATGATTAGGCATGGTAATTACATTTAACTAAAAAAATATAGTTTTGCTTTAATTTGAACAAATGTGTTTCAGGTTTTGACATAAAAATGATAGGAAAAAACCATTAGCAGAAAGAACCCTCGGCTTTCTTTATTGACCCAATGACCCTAAGCTTTTATCGAGTAAATTCTGATTGAAAGTATCCACAGCGCTTTGATTCATTGTTATCGGGTCTAGGAGCACCAGCTTTTCTGCTTGTTGGTGAAATTTACACTTTCATCATCCAGATCACTTTTACTTGGTGACCTGAGATTGAAGGTCCCATTATGAAGTAAACTAATTCAGCATCTGGTTGATAGGTACACGAACCAATCATCATCATCATCGTACAGCGGAATACAGTGAAGCAGACTTCACTGATTGCTGCCAAAATCCCAATGCATACAAGGTTAGTGGTAAAAATTTAAGATGAGCAGCGATTGAACCTACTTTGAGGGAGGGAGGTGAACCACTATGGTCAACACACAGAGTGCACAATCGAACTCTGCATACATACCGTTTCAAGCGTTCTGGCCTGATAAGAAATGAAGACAAGAACGCAACTGCTGTC